GACTGGTCAGGTTCAGACTGTTGCAGTAGCAGTGGACCTTGCCAGAGAAGCTGCGCTCAGTATTACAGCTGAAGGCTTCTCCGAGACCACCAACGAAGACATCATGGAGGTGATCAGAGATCCTGAATTGACTGCCGACGAGATGTTGGAAGAAGAACCCGCCAGTGAAGAGGAGGAAGAAGGTGCGTCATTCTCCGAAGAACCTAGTTTAAGTCATAGTGATATTAAGTGTGTCATAGAGTTAACAGAAAAAATTAAGTCCATCGTTTCCCGCGACACTGACGATGAACGCCATGACGTCTTCCATACCCGACTGGTGCAGGCTATGGAGCCGTACATCACGGTGTATCATGACAACATCAAAGCCAGCCGTCAGCAAAGCATAACCGAGTTCTTCGCCCGCAACCCACCACAGCCAGCCCAAGCCAGTGATAGTGATAGTGAAGTTGATTTTGAGGGATTTGTCAGGGAAGCCATAACAACTGTAAGTGACAGTGATATTGATTCACCTAGTAATGGTGATTCACCTGAGGGGCAGTAATCTGCCCTCTGCCTCGGAACCAGCCTCCATCCCCGTATGCCGACCCATCTCTTCTACCGTGAGTGTTCCTCAAAAATTTTCGTTTTTTAACCTATTCTTTATTTTTCCTATGTTAACCTTTATCTTTCCTAACCTAACCTCTTCTATATTACTTGTTTTTCATGCCACCATAAAGATAAGATAGAATTTTTACTACAACATAGTTATTTGTCGTCAAAAAGTGGAGCTTGGGGGTCGGGCTGGGTTCTATTGGAATTAATCCCATATGTTCTGTTATTCACTTAACGCGGTTTTCACTTAACGCGGGACCCTCTGGGTTCAATTGACCGCGTTAAGTGGGGTACAACTGTATATATATATATATATATATATATATATATATAACTGTATATGCACACACACACACAAGTACTGTACATTATTATGCTTATATAGTTACATCACCTACAGAATATTAAACTATGAGCAATTGTCTAGCTTATTCTCTCTAATATTGAAGCAAGTGAAGTATGTCAAGCAATCTTCTTGCCTTTCAAATGATCTCTGCCCAGGCCAGGTCAGCAGCAGGTCATAACCGGTGACTATACTAAGCCCCGAACTGTCTCTCGCTCACATCAAAAATGTGTTCATGAAGCTCATTCCACTTCACTTCATTTATTTAAATGCTTACAGCTTATAGCTTTAATTACAGTGATATCCTAAGTTTACTGTGCAGAGAATATTTTCTTAATATAAGGAGAAACGACCATTTGGGTTTGCAAACTAACCCACAAACATTAACTAGTGTGACTTCCAGTGTAACTACAGAGTTGCAGTTCCAATACAAATCAGTGGTTCCAACAGGGAAACGGAAGTAAAAGTAACAATGGGAGAAATTTTAAAGTAAATGTGCACAGTACATTGCAGCTTGACTGCTGGGAGACAACTCTGAAGAGTGCTCAAGCTTCACTGCGCTCGCACTATACTAGGAGGAATTGCCATATATTTAATTCGTGATGGATTACCACGAGAGAATGATATGAGGAGTGATTCACAAAAATCTTACATATCAGTCATAATTACAGTACAGGTACTCCTCGACTTACGACCTACTCGACTTACGACCACCCGGACATACAACCGCCGCAGTCGTATAAAAAAAAAATTAAATTAAGTACGCATTTTCTAGTACTGAAACGTTTCCATCCCGTACGACAGCATGGCGTGGGCTGGGCCGCCTCGTGGTGTACAGCATCCACACCGTAGCCTGCTCAGTTGGTGTTTGGCCGTCGTTGGTGTTAGTGATCGCGCTGTGTACTGACAAAATTTTCGTTTCTGGTGGTGAGAGTTCTGGTGGTGCTCAGAAGAAAAAGAGACACTCAATTACTTTTGAGATGAAAATGAAAATAATAATGCAATATGAAAATGGAAAAACGGTAGCAACCATTTCAAGTGACCTTGGCTTCTCTCACTCGACAATATCAAAAATTTTGAAGGACAAGCCAAAGGCATTTGCTACTATTAATAACGGGAAGCAAATGTTTGAAGAAATGGATCAAAATGTTGAGCGTTTTACAAAAGTTGACAGACTGATCCAAGATGCACTTGCTTGCTACAGGGAGATTTACAATGAAAAGAAAAGACAAACTGTGCAGTCTAAATTGGACAAACAGTATATTTTAAGAAGTCCCCCACTGCTGTCTCCTCACGCCCCACCAGCACTGCCTCTTCACTCCCTAAAAATGATCCAATACCTTCAACAAGCAAGTATGTTAGCCTGTCTGAAGAAAGCAAAATTGTGATCCACCCAGCCCTGTCTCCTCCTCTGCTTCATCCAATTAATGTAGTCTACATGCTTAAGTAAAAAGTATCGAGGCCCAGTGTGCATTCAGCTGACTATATTGAAGGTAAGTGCACAGTAACACTTTATTTATTTTTCAATACTGATTACTTTTACTGTACCGTATTTCATTTTAGATTTTCTATGTATTATTTTCGCGTTTTCGACTTGCGACCAATTCAACTTATGACCTGGTCGTTGGTCCCTAAACCCGTCGTAAGTCGTGGACTGACTATTTGATTTTGCATTGTGCCAATAGCATGTACAGTACATTGCCAGTGTCATCAGCTGAATGTGAGAAGAATTTCTGTTATGAAGGATGAACGTTTAGACAGCATGATGGCAACTGGTACCCATCAAACTCATGCGATCTGACTGGATCTAGATACTGTTGTAAGTACAATATAGTCTCGGTTTACGCAGTCAATTAAACCCTTGGAGGTCCGCATAAAACGAGAAACGAGTAAACGAAATAACAGAACATATGGGATTAATTGAAATAGAGACTGGGCCGACCCCCAGACTATCCTTTTTCCGACACAATACGTATGTTGTAGTGAAAATAACATCTTAATTTTATGATGGTATGCACACACAATTAATATTTAAGAGAAATATCAATAATATTAGGTTTTTTAACACTTACGTCAGTAGAAGAGAGGGCTGGGCACACGGGGATGGGGGGTTGGTTCCGAGGCAGAGGGCAGATTATTGGCCCTCACCTGTATCACTTGTATCACTTGTATCACTATCCACCACATAGGCTTGCAGGGACTCTTTGTCAAACCCCTCAAAGTCCATATCCTCACTATCACTATCACTGACCTGGGCTGGCTGTGGTGGGTGGCGGGTGAAGAACTCGGTAATGTTTTGTTGACTGGGCAACCTAGTGCTCACCCTGCCCGCGCCGCTTCCCGCGTAAATGATGGAATGTACCGCGTAACTAATAATTGCCGGTCTGACCAGGAGCCACGTAAATGACCAACCGGGTAAAGGAAATCCGCGTAAATCAAGACTATACAGCACTGTAGATTCAAAGCAAAATTTGCAAATTGTAGAATTGTCCTATAAAGTTTGGTAAAATATTCTAATTTGGAATTAAGCTTCGGTTTAGCTCATATAGTAAAACCTCGATTAACCGACCACATATGGGGGGAAGGGGCCGACGGATAATCGAAAAGGTCGGTTAATAGTATATAAAATCTACGGAAATAAAACATACATTTTCAAAGTACCTTTCCCTAACCTACCTCATTTAAATCCCTCTATTCATTTTTTTTCATTTGCCATTTATATTTCAATAGTATTTGCTTTAAAACATTAACCACTTTCGTAAATAAATATGAACCAGCACAGAAACCGTGAATAAAAAATGGAAAAGTCAAAGAACATATGTCATCACAAAAATTGTGACCAAGTCCCAGGTTGCTGATCTGATTTTCTGCCTCATTTACACATAATTGCAGGGTCTCAATTGTTTCTCTTACTATTGACAACACAACATACATACAGGTACATTGTTTCTCACTCTTGGTTTTTTTTTTTCATTTTTTCATTTCTTTATGGTTCTTTATTACTGTTATTATTATTATTAGCATTATCATTATTACTATTATTACATTATCGCCCCCCAGGCCCCGATGTGGGTCAGTGACCTGTGCCTGGCTGGGCTAATCCCCGTAAAAAAAAAAAAAAAAATTAGGGGTTCGGGATTGACGGTTAATCCGAAAGTCGGTTAATCGAGGGTCGGTTAATTGAGGTTTTACTGTATTTTTTTTTAAACTTACATGTTAAGACATTGCTAATGTCTTGTTACCGTGTATCTATAGTGATTTTTTTTGAGCAAGACTGTATGTCCATGCTAAAGTGTGGGAGGTTTTACAATTTGTGAAATGTGATTAAGTAAGATTAAGTAGCTTTTTTGCTTTTACATTTTTGCATCTACAAATGTGATGCATAGAAGAAAAATTCACAGTAATATGAATGTTCAGTCTATGAAAGGTTCATTTATTTAAGTATCCATTGTACATGGCCCCATCCCTCATATCCCACCAATTTTTTATAGCAATCGATGTCCGTGTCTGGTGTGGACCCCCCCAATCAGAAAAGTCAGCTTCTCCCCATGATTATAAAATCATGGAATAATCTACAGATACAGACACTCCCCGGTTTACGGAAAGATTCCGTTCCTGGACCCTATCCGTAAGTCAAATTTTCTGTGAACCAAAAATGACACTTCCATAAGATAAACATGTACTGTACCCTGTACAGAATCACAGATGGCATCTCACAAGGGGATGAGCTCAGTCAACTTACGCATAATCCTGCGTAAATAGTGTTGTTATGCCGTATTAGTTACCTTCAGTAATAACAGAAACTCTTGTGCAACCAAGAAAATTTTTATAATGGGACTTATTGGAGGCATTCTGTATCCTCGAATTTCTGTAAACCAAGTGTTCTGTAACCCAGGGAGTGTCTGTATATACTAGGGAATGTTTTGACACCACCAACTGCAAACTCTTTCTTGGCACCTGTTCACATACAGTACATCTAAATGGCTAATAAAATGAAAATGGAAATAAAAAGGATATGAAAATTACTGAAAATAATTAAACATTGAACAGATACAAATTAACTTACCTTGCGTTTGATGAAGGGGTCCATTTGTTTAGTATTCTTCCATTCCTCATCATACTTGAGTTCTGGCAACTCTTCATCACAGTCTATGTCTTCTGTAGTAGAGTTCATGTTTTTGCAGCAAATGGTTCCACATGTGGTTATAAATAGCACCTTCAGCCATTGACTAATAAGGAGAGAGATGAAGGAGATGACGTAAGAGGAGAACCACTTCATAGTTTTGATCTCTCCCCACATAATTCCATATGACCATACAAAAAATATGGACACGACTATACCAACCAGTATTATGAGCCAGGCCAGCCATCTCGTCCACCATGGAATGCACTTAACAGGACTTGCTTCTTTGCCTCGGTTGTCTGATGACTGAAGGGGCATTTGGTCATATTCATTCAAGACCTCATCTTCTTTGTCTGCCTCTACTTCATTCTGTTCTTGCTGGCCCCTCCGTTGTTTGGCTATAGCCTCAAGAGCACGGCATTTTTTGAGTTTTCGAGGTCTAGCTCTTTTGAATACAAACACAAGAAGGAGAATCAAGAGATACACCAGTAAACCTGAAACGATACCAATAAGGGCCTGTTCTGCGGAAGCAATTTCAAATAAACTTATGCGAGGTGAATCGCTGAGTGTCTGGTACCACACAGCTGCCAAAAGCATTGATAGGTAGAGGTAAAGTGTGACCACAGATCTACGCTCTTTTCGGTTGAACCGTGAGCCTGTTGGGCCGCCATCCACATATGATCATCATTAGCATTTCTGTTTCCTTTATAGTGAATTTGTACTGAATGATGTGTCATCAGACTCACTCTGTGATGGCTTCAGTAACAGGTCAATTTTCTGGCTACCACGGTCTAAAGCTAACCAAGTGTTTGCCTGGAACACGTATTTATTTCGTGTCGAAAGATCACGGATCACTACTGTCTCCAGCTGCCAATTGGTAAGTACCTGTGTCACTAGCCGCCATCAAGTAAGTAAATATCTCCCAGGGGCCCTCGTGTGCTCATCACAAATGTATCAACACTATAACGGTGATAACGTCTGCCTTCAGATGGTGGAAGAACTCTTATATCTGTTTCATCATATTCTCCTGATAATATGAACTGGATGTGAATTTGTTCCAGCTTCTTTGTCAGGCCCAGTAGTAAGAGTTATTTCATATAGATATTTATCTTCCAAACTATTATTCTCTAAGGGAAGAACTCCTCTGTGTTCTACATCTTTCTTATCCATAAAACGAGCCCATATCATTGTTAATATATAACAAACAAGTGTAATTATGACCATTAAATATATTGTAATATTGCTAGTAAAACCCAAATTAGCATAAATATATTCAAAGTCAATTTTATTTTCAACATGAAAGTGCCCTGACCCAAAGGGTGTTAAATGATGTGCATTACAATAAACGTGAGTATCTGTAGCTGCCACACACTCCAGATCAGAGCCTTGCCAGGCACTCTTTTGTGTATCATAGTAATAACATCCTGAACTTGTCACAAGGATCTCGTAATCAAAATCAAATTTATTATGGAAATCCTTGTTTTTCAGACTTAAGTTTTGACTTAAGTCAAGTTCCTTTTTTAGAATGGCTACTGCGAGATAAAATCCAATTCTGTTTCTATTTTTCTGGCTATTCACAAACCAAGAATATGATCCATTATCATTTAATGGGAGGTCCCTCACAAATAAAATTTTGTCATATTGTGAAGGGGTTGGTAATCTCTTGTGATCTATTAAAATAACCAAGTTTGGTGGGATGTCTTCTTTTGGTGTAATATCCACAGTGAAGGCAGAATTATTATTGGACACATTAAACTGATGGTACACAAAGGGTACATGTCTGTTGATATAGGTTTTTGCCACCGTGAGAACTGGTTTTGGTAACTGCTTATATGTTCGAGGAATTGCCAGTAAGATCGGGGCAGTAAGATTTTTAACCTGGATATGCCTTTCTTCTATAAATAGCTTGATGGAGAGTACAAAAGATTCTGGTGTGAGAAATTTCATACTCTCTGGATACACATGAGTTAAACATGGCCACACCACTACTGCCACACCAAAGATATTGTCACATTTTGCGTCTTTAACACTTGACTTAGAAGGGCAGAAAGAACTTGGGAATGTCACTGAAGCATTCAAGGCATTCTTAGGGTCAATTTGCAACCCATCACTTAACGATTTTTCATTATATTTGGCAACAAAAATTCCTGCCCCACTTTCTGACTTTTCATTGATCACCTCCCCAACAACACTCTTTGATAAGATGTTAATGCAAAGAAAATCAATCAGTTCAAACATTTCCATCAGCATACTCTTTGCTCTTGATATTGTAGTCGCATGTACATTTTTCTTTAGTTGAGTTATCCTGTCTTCTGGTACCTCAACATTATAGTCTTTGCCATCAATAACAGTTTCATAGTTCCAATCCTTGGCTTCCTTCAAATCCGTAGGAGGACTCCTATCTGGATTCAATATAATTTCATTCATACTCCTTAGAATGCAAACACTAGCATCCAAAAAACATGAAACAAAAGGTTGTAAATCATATGGAGAATAAATAGGAGTGGTATTTAACTTGGCTGCCATTTTCTTCATAAATTGAATACTCATATCCCTAAATTCCATATCAACTGTAAATGCTGCCATTTCTTGTGTTAGGATGCCACAAGAAGATGATTTCAAGACACAAGCACCAACGTTGAGCTGAGATAATGAGGCAAAGTCCATTGTACTGGAAGCAAAAGAAAGTGATTCTTTATTCATGGCACTAACTTGAGTTAGCTTGTCATTTGCTTCTCCCTCGAATGACTCAAGGGAATCTAAAGAATCTAATGACAGCCAATCAGCATTCTCTCTAATAGAAGAGATCCCCACTAACACCATTCCTAATGTGGCTTGATCACCAATGGCCGCTAAGTTTTGTAGGACACTGGAAGGATTGTATGCTTTGAAATCTGCCTCTGAAATCATTGTAGCATTCACATTCCCAACAAACACAGAGGTGAAACTTCCAAACTTATCTTGAATCTTACATCTAATTTCAAAATAGCCCACAGGGAAGACCAAATTTACATTAGCAAAGCCTGATGACACCATTGTTTTCTCGGCATTTTCTTCACGATAATAGAAGGAATATGACACAATTCCCATTTTCTCTGGGTCTTTCCAGTCAGAGCATGATGTGAGTGTAGAATCTAACAGTGCTCGTACAGTTTCAGTTCTTAACTTGCATGTCCCATCAATTGGTGGCTTGTTTGGGATCACCACGATCTCTGCAAACCTGTCAAGAAAATGTTGATATTATGTAAATTATGCCATGTTCTTTAGAAAAAAACACAATGACAGAATTCTTACACATACAGGGACAAGGGTCTCTTATTTGCCTAAAATAAATACAGTAATACCCCGCTCAACGCGGTTTCGCTTAGCGCGATTTCACGTATATGCGGTGCCTCGCCAGAGCCGAACTTTCACTTAACACGGGTTTTTTCCACGTATACGAGCAGTTGGGAGAGGGGGGGAGGCAAGGTGGGGTACTTTGATTGACAGATAGTGTCGTGAAGAATATTTTTTTTTTTATTAACTGAAGATATTTGTTTTAGCTCATAAAATTCATACAAATTACCAGGCCAGAATATAATTTACATTGCTGGAATTCTTACAATTTGATGATCATTTTGAATATAAACATCATAGATTTTGCATTAGACATACAAATTTTAGATATAATGTTTACTCTGAGTAAATATGTTATTTTTTGTGCAAAATATATGACACTTATATTCAAAATATTCCTGGTCTTACAAGGAATCCAGCAATGTCAATTATATTATCCTAACTTTAGTTTGAGGTATTATTTATTAAAATTTAGTGGTTTTCCCCCCCAAATTTCTCAGAGAGGGAAGAGCCAGCGAGTGTAGTGTGAGAAGAGGGGGAGGGAGTTGAGTCCATTATTTGAATGGACATGAACTTGGCGACTGTATTTCTCTATTTCTCTTAAGTATTAATTGTGTGCATGTACCATCATAAAATTAAGATGTTATTTTTACTAGAACATAGGTATTGTGTCGGAAAAAGTAGAGTTTGGGGGTCCGGCCAGTCTCTATTGGAATTAATCCCATATGTTCTGTTGTTCACTTAACGCGGTTTTCACTTAACACGGTACCCTGTGGGTTCAATTGACCGCGTTAAGCGGGGTACTACTGTAATTTTTATTTGAAGGTAAATTTAGTTATAGGTTTTTTTCTTTTATAAAACTATTTTTCCACAAAACATTTGGCAGACATTTACTTATAAGTATCATACATGCATCTTCATCAAAATAATCTTAATTTAATTCTCCACAAATGAGGCGATTCATGAGGAAATTGTGCTTAAGTCCTCTGGCATTATGTAAACTGGAAAATATAAATTAAGGAAAGGTGTTTTGAACATAGCACTGAAAAAGTCTCAAAACAAATAAATCCAATCAGCATACTGTATATACAGTACTGTATATACAAGAAGTTCTATTTGTAAAACACACCACCTTATGGTCCTAATTACTGCATAATGACAAAGCACCAAAAATAAACATATACCCTGTAATCAGATACAGGTTGTACCTCTCTAGTCCGGCATTCTGTGGTCCGGAAACTCCCGTGGTCCGGAACGATTTTAGTTTGTCCAATAGGTAGATAGGCAGCTTTTTTTTCTTTTTTTTTTTTTACTTATCTGAATTATTATTATTATTACAGGAGTATTAAATTTTTGCCCCTCAGGCCCCAATGTGGGTCAGTGACCTATGCCCAGGTGGGCTAATCCCCTTAAAAAAAAAAAAAAAAGCCGCGGGAAATTAAGGTTTGTTTACATCCGACAGTTCGGCTGCTCTCTCTCTCTCTCTCTGCTTGTCTATACAGAGTACAATATTTAACCCTTCAATATATATGAGCAGTAAATAAGTGTTGCTTTCATATTCTTATGTAGAGTAATGACGATATGTTTTCACATGTGCGCACTTACATACGCGCAGTCTCACTTTTTTTTCTTACCATTAATGGTTAGCTACTTATATTGTTCCATTTATTAGCATTAAATAACATTACATGTACTTCAAACAACCATATTAATTTTTTTACATTAATTTTACTACAGCTAAAATCAGGGTCTTATTTTCTTCAGTTTTACATGTAGAACCAATCAGTCACTGCTTTTGTAAGCTTTAACATAAATAATGCCGGCAGCCGTCTCGTCTCCTCTAATATTCCACGTATTATTAATAAATTGTATTGTTAATTTTGCACAAACACACAATAATTCAATAAAAACAAATTCAGAAACATTAATTAAAATATATATGAACAGTAAATAAGTGTTGCTTTCATATTCTTATGTAAAGTAATGACGATATGTTTTCACATGTGCTCATGCGCACTTACATACGCGATCTCTCTTTTTTCTTTACCATTATCGTTAGCTACTTCTATTGTTCCATTTATTAACATTAAATAACATTACTTAAAACAACCATATTAATTTTACTACAGCTACAACCAAGGTCTTATTTTCTTCAGTTTTATATGTAGAACCAGTCAGTTACTGGTTTTGTAATCAACGAAAACAATGCTGTGTCATTTCCTCGTGTGTTTTAATATTCAACGTATTATTAATGAATTGTATTGCTCATTTTGCACACATAAACATTAATTCAATTAAAAAGACATTCAGTAATAAACAATAATGAATCTTTTGTACATAAGAGAAATGACGCTGTTTACACGATTATGCACGTCGTCTGCACGTTGGCGGGCCGTTCAAACCTGTCGAAATTCAAGTTTCCGCCGTCAAAATTTTTATTTATTTATTTTTTTGTGTGTTCCAATAAAATACGTTAAGAATTAAAAACTCGCGAAATTTGAGAAGCTACTATACGACATTTAACCCTTCAAAGAGACCATGATGCAGAGAAAGTGTTGCTAGTGCTTCCAAGCATAAGCACAAGTCACTATCTATCCAGGAAAAGGGTGAATTTCCATGGTCCGGCACTGGTCAGGTCCCGAGGTTGCCGGACTAGAGAGGTACAACCTGTAGTTCAATGATGAGTGTTAAGAAACATAAAGATTAAATATTTTACACTGGATAATGTTTGTACTTTTCTATAAATCAATGACAAAAAATATATAAAAACAATGTGATAGTAAAAAATATAGAAAAAAACAATTAGGTATCAATATAAAGGAAGCAATGTACAGCTCCTCCCCGACTTACGACCACCCGCACTTTCAACCTGCCTCAGTTGTACCAAAATTTTGTTAAATTACGTATTTTTGATTCCCAACGTCAGTACACAGACAAAAAAATATTTGTAATTCACTTTTGAGAGAGAGAGAGAGAGAGAGAGAGAGAGAGAGAGAGAGAGAGAGAGAGAGAGAGAGAGGAGAGAGAGAGAGAGAGAGAGAGAGAGAGAGAGAGAGAGAGAGAGAGAGAGAGAGAGAGAGAGAGAGAGAGAGAGAGAGAGAGAGAGAGAGAGAGAGAGAGAGAGAGAGAGAGAGAGAGAGAGAGAGAGAGAGAGAGAGAGAGAGAGAGAGAGAGAGAGAGAGAGAGAGAGAGAGAGAGAGAGAGAGAGAGAGAGAGAGAGAGAGAGAGAGAGAGAGAGAGAGAGAGAGAGAGAGAGAGAGAGAGAGAGAGAGAGAGAGAGAGAGAGAGAGAGAGAGAGAGAGAGAGAGAGAGGAGAGAGAGAGAGAGAGAGAGAGAGAGAGAGAGAGAGAGAGAGAGAGAGAGAGAGAGAGAGAGAGAGAGAGAGAGAGAGAGAGAGAGAGAGAGAGAGAGAGAGAGAGAGAGAGAGAGAGAGAGAGAGATACGTGTTTACTTAGTAAAATTTTCATACAAGTTTACACTGATTCAGCAGCATATACACAATGTAGTATTGTATACAGTTTTGTATGTTTATAGACAATGCAGTACTGGTATGAGGTACTAGACCAGTTGCATTCTCAGCATTTACATTGTACCTCATTTTCTTTGTCCACAACACTATTTGGGGGTAGAGTCAGATACAGGTATGCTTATATATTGTTACTTTCATCCGAGTGGGAAGTCGTGGGGCTGGGAGGTCGATGAGTTATTCCCACACCTCAGCTCCCTCACTGTTGCACTCACTTCCACTAGCTTCCCCTTGCTCCTTTACATTACTCCTAACAGAAGCTACTGTACCTAGTTTAGGAAATTCAAACTTGATAATTGTAGAATTAAAGGGATGGAAGGAAACTATCATCATTTAGCCTGTAGTCAGAAAAGGAGTCATATTAGGACATACAATCGATATCCTTGGGTGACATATTAATAGGCAGTGGAAAGTCATCCTATTGCAGCCATCCAATGAAGGGAAGGATTCCTTAGGTTACTACAATATATATAAATAGCTTTTAATATCTATTTTATTTCCCATATACAGTACAGTTGTTAAATAAATATTTTTATCTGTAACTATACAGATGCTAATTTATTTATATTATGAAGTATTGTGGGCCTCTTTCTTAACTGTTTCCAAGTACATCTGATGACCTCACATAAGATCCCAAGTGTGTTTAGTGTTTTCATGTACAGGTACTCTTTTTTTTTTTTTAACTAGCTTTATGCAAAACCTAAACAAAGCAATGCCTCAATATTTATCCATTTTTGTAAAGTACCTGGCCAAAAGTTGCACCAAGATTATAATTAATGGAATTTACTCCTTTAATCTCATTCTACATAATTATTTGAGTGTTTAATTCTACAGTATCAAGATCTTTAACCTAACATTGTTAAAAAACAATCATGTAAAACAGAAAAAATAATCAGCAGAACCACTCCCAACAGACTGAATCTTAATAAAGTGTTGGCTATCTACTTTATACAATACTGTATATGAGCACTTAAGATTGTTTAAGAAAGGTATGATACATTGACATACTATTAACAAAGTTTTAAAGTATTATGGTCTACTCATTCAATAATCAACTATTGGAAACTTACCCTCTAGATTCAGTTGAACTTGTCATTGTGAGTCTGAAGCGGAACTTCTCTATATTTTTGTTGATGGAGAAGAAAATTGGGTTGACAGCAAGGTTCCTTTCAGCCTTTGTCGTGATAAACACTGAAAATAAATACAAATACATTCTAAATATCTCTCTGGTTTATATCAATGTTATACAGCAAGATGATTCCTGTTGCAAAAATCTGAGATCATCAGGGGCAGGGAAAGGTGGACAGTAGTAATGGAAATATTTCACAAATCAAGGAAAAAAACTCAAACGGATGTTAGTATGTATTATGATGAATGTCCAAAAGGTAAATTAATTGTGCTTAATAATATCAAAATAAAAAATTATGATCATAGCAAAGATAAAACATAATCCAAAGCACAAAGACATTACATCTCAGCTTGGGATAAGAAATGTGAAGTTATTCAGCAGGCAAAAAACTTAGCAAGGAGCAATGCATTTCGGAATATATTTATTTGCCCAGATCGCTTGGCAATGCAAAGGGAACAGCACAAAAAACTCCTGAAGGAATTGAAGCAGAGGAAGGAGGAGTCGAGGAGGAACGGGGACGGGTGTACATGGGTTATATCCTGGGGGAGGGTAGTAGAAGCAAGAGTGCCAGCACAGAGCCAGGGAACAGAGGGACACCCCACACCTGCTCTACATCCCACCCAGGTGGAGGTGAGCGCCATGTAAACTTTGACATATCTGACCACACCCCACAAAATACAATGTATTTAGCAAATGCTGCAGCTGCTAAGAATGGAGGGGGGCCAGAGTCACTACCAAGAACAGACATTACTGAGAAAAAATTCCAGCTTGCAAGTCATGTACACTAATACGGAATTTGGATATATTTTTTAAATAAAAATATAAATAAAATAAATTTGAATTTTTAATCAAAATTTTTACCAAAATTTTAAACATTATTTTGTGTGGATTCTCTGTGGTAGCCACAAGACGGTTGCAAGGCCACTCACCTACCCAGTTGCCAGCAAACACCACAACAATGGCATTGCTCAGTTAGAATTCTTCCCCAGTTTGTGTTCAGTTATGCGTCTATGTTCAGGACTGTGTTTGCCCCAACGGATATTACTGAATGGTTAATTTATAGAAGCCACAACAACAATGGCGCTGCTCAGTTTTAATTCTTTCCCCAGTTTGTGTTCAGTTGTGCACCGGTTTTACTGTGTACCTATATTCAATATGAGTGGAAAAAGACCACCAAGTTCAAGTGAAACAGTGATAAAAGATTCAATAAAGGAACTGGGTTAAACAATATTCATGATATTTTAAGGAGGTAACTCCCAGTAACTCTGATCGCACTATCTCACCTCACCAACTCCTGCAACACTCAACATCGTTTCTGGTAAGTAAAATTTGAGTGTTTTATTCATTTATTATTGTTACACCATGAATGACTCATTGTATGTGGTTAAAAACCATCTAATTTCATACATATATGTGCTTGTGTCACGTTTTTGGGCCTCAAAAAATTTCCGTAGGAATGAATCTCAAGTTTTATGATGGAAGTCAACAGGAAAAATGGTTTTATATTACAGAATTTTGCATTGCAGAAAGATTTTCAGGAACGGAACCCTTCCATAACCGGGGGATGCTTATTCAAATCGAATGTCACAGAGAATAAGTTTTTCCTTTCAAATTCTAGATGAGACACATTATGTGGCTTAATTTTTCAAGAAGATTGCCTCTAGTATCTCCTCAAATATAAATTTAAAAATCAGAACACAAAATACTGAGGATACTGAATTTAAGAAACAATTAGTAACCAGAAGTAAAACCAAAACTCACCTGGTTTACACTCTTCAGGTTTACAGAAGTCGGGACCTGGGTCTGTCTCATTCACCGGGTCCCCTGTCCTGTAACACCAACCTATTATCAGTCACACTATTACATAATTACAATTGCAGAAGTGTGTTCACACGTGTGTATTTGTTTGTGCACAAACCTGTAAAAAAAAGTTCCTCTCTTTCACACACTACTATAAAACCTCACTTTCCTCCAACTCCCAATTAAACTTTCATACTGTCATGTCTTATGCTTCTGTAGATTCACTATCATAGTAGCTCCACAGTTGAACCCATAAAATCCACCACTCTACAGTAAAGTTAATATACACTGTACTTAATGCAGCCAAAGCTTTTGTGGTGCAGTACATGAAATTTTGATATCTGACATTCTATTACATCCAGCAAAACCACTGCTTCCCATCACATGCATCTGAGAGATATTGAAAGTAAGCATACTTTGGCTTAGGTATACTTTAACACTAAGATTTGGTAATCCTTAGTTTGATCTATTGTCGCAAAACTTTCAATAAACATCAAGCAGATTTTGGTGATGACATTCTTTCACACACCCAAAGACACTACTGCTTAGTTATTACTGGTTTAGTTATATTTCTATACATTTTTACAGTACATATGATTTTTCTTGGTATTATTTAATCCTGTACTGAGTAAATGTAAACCTAGCAGTGAGTAGTACAAACATAAGAAGTTTGTGGGCGTGTGTGTATTAAGACACATGGCGACAGCTGTTGTCAGGCCAGCTGACCAGCCACCTCATCAGTTGCCATTCAGACTCAACCATTGGTAATAAAGTATTTCATTGCAGTTTTTGCTTTAAAAGTGGGTTTAAAATATTATAATATTAGTGCAATAAAAAAAGACAAACAATAGCCGTGTTTTTTGCTCATCCATAAACACAGTGCGGGCCCATACATCCAAAGTTAAGATTTCCCTAGAATTTGAACACTAAATCCAGGCAATCTGGATTCTCAGTGTGTGATTATATCTACAAACTGTACATTAATATCGTAATCTTCCAAATCTCTTTGGCCAAGACCTTTCCCACTACTGAATCAATAAGAACTCTTTAATAGCTCCAATGACATTACATGTCTTCATCTCATCCCTACTTTGACCTTAACCTGTTCAGACCCAATCTCAGTTTATTTATGCATTCCTCCTCCAAGACTAAGGTTTATCAAAATACAAAAACAAAATTATCTTATAAATCAAGTAAACGTTATGTTAAAAGCCATGAACCAAAAATATCTTAGTTAGCAGATAGTATGGTCCTCAAGTCTTGCTGGCACCTCGCTGTAATTTCATGTCGTTTTTATACTCAAGCTAAACTTTGTCATCATCACCATCACATTGATCTACAGTATATCACAACTTTCCATCAAAACTGCATCTATTTTTTTCCACATCACAGCATATTTACATTTACATCTATTTTTGTATTTACCAGATGCACGGGTATCACTATCAAGACTGACAGATAAATGTTTCAATAAATGTCGTTCCACCATTCTTAAGAGTGAAATATTATTGCTTGTGTCATATGACCTTATTATATGGTTCATGGCTGCTTCAAGATATTTGAGATGGGGAAGAAACCATCAACCTGTACAGTAATTCATGCATGTGTAGAACTACTCCCAAATGTACAAGGTAGTGTATATGGGTAGGACTGAAAGGGTTAAAACAGTCACCGATACCTCAGCATGTGCTAACAAAAGAATGAACCCCAGGTGATTCTTACACAAAGATTTAAACCTCTACTAGTCACTAGGTGGGAGCTTGTTACTCACATGTTCATAATGGTCCACTCAAGTTTCATCTCACCCTCACACATATCCACACAGTTGCCCATAAGTGCCAGACGAGAAGATGGATTGACAAGGAGTCCGCCATTGTAAGGTAAACACAGTTTTTCTTCCACACATCTTTTGGAACAATATAAAGAAAAAGTTAGCGGTAATAATGAATGATGGCTCACATAGCCATGTCGAAAGGATCATGCAGAAAAGTTATTATAAGTTATCAAAGCACATTTTGAAGCCCACAATATTTCATACAGTAGAAAACAGATAAAAGAAATTATATATGAATTAATTGTATGAATAGATATTGATACACATTTTCAACTAAACATTTAAATGTTCAGTACATAAGAAGAAGAATGCATGTATAAGGAAACAATTCTTCATACAGAGGGTGATTTACCGAAGGAACAGCCTGCCAGCTCAAGCCATGGTTGGTGGTAGACCTATGGAACAGCCAGCCAGCAAAAGCCATGGAAGCAAGAACAGTAGTACTAAGTTTCAAAATAGCTCTGGACAAGACTATTAAAAATAGGGGGGAATACTACACAGTCCATTGACCTCCTTCCCTTGGTAAAGTCACCTCTAGCTGAGGTGATCGTTGAGTAAATCAGGAAGCCAAATGATGAATCAGGCTGTGAATACATGTAGATGGATTCATACAACTCACTTTACATTTAACTGGGGTGGAGGATGCTGCATGACCTCCACCTGCACTGTAGTGTATTGCTTTCGTGTATCCTTGCTGACGAGAGCAGTGATCTCGTATGTGCCTTGTTCACGTATGAAACTTGAGGTTTGCAGGTTTAAAGTGCCATCACTGTACTCAAGTGTGCCTGTTGATTTAAAATTTAGATGAGAATATTTATAAAGAGAATGGAAAAATGTCAATGTACAGGGCTGTATCAACAAAAGCAGGGGAAGTCACTTTTAAAAGATTACCATAACCTGAAACTGGATCAACCACTTAAGCTAATAACACACAAAAAAACAGCTAACCTAACTTAACCTAACCAAAAAAAGACTAGAATGTAATAAAAATTGCTTAACCTATATTACAGAAGAGATGATGTGATTAATATAATTTCATAAGCAGCTCAGGGGACATTACTCAGTCAAATGCACATACATCTGGAGTTAATGGGTCACTCGGGGTCACGGCCTCAAGTTAGAGAAGCTATCAATAAAGAAAACCACCAGTTCTAACTTTTTTGGAGTAAGAAATGTGAACTGTTGTAATAGCCTGAAAGAGAATGTAGTGACAGAACCAATTATGAACTCCTGTAATATCAGAACTGACCATCACTGGTACATTCAAGTTCTACTGCATGACCAGTAAACTATAAGTCAGCTCTGACCAGCGACCTAGCCGGCTAGTAAGCTGACAAGTGGCAATAAGAATGAAGTACAATAATGGTTTACAGTACCTGGACCTCTGCCGAAGCATCCCTCTTTAGTGCGCTCATCAGTGGTACCTGGAGCCGGCACAGGATGTATGTTGTACACCTTCAGGTCATTATCATCCACAATGTTAAAGGTTTCTTGTGTTGGCTTCAGTTGTCGACACCACCATGTGATATTAAAGTCCTGAGGATGACACCACCATGTGATATTAAAGTCCTGAGGATGACACCACCATATAATATTAAAGTCCTGAGGATGACACCACCATGTGATATTAAAGTCCTGAGGATGACACCACCATGTGATATTAAAGTCCTGAGGATGACACCACCATATAATATTAAAGTCCTGAGGATGACACCACCATGTGATACAGTCCTGAGGATGACACCACCATATAATATTAAAGTCCTGAGGATGACACCACCATATAATATTAAAGTCCTGAGGGATGACACCACCATGTCGATATTAAAAGTCCTGAGGATGACACCACCATATAATATTAAAGTCCTGAGGATGACACCATGTGAACAATGAAGTCCTGAGGATGACACCACCATGTGATATTAAGGTCCTGAGGATGACACCACCATATAATATTAAGAATCCTGAGGATGACACACCACCATGTGATATTAAAGTCCTGAGATGACACCACCATGTGATATTAAGGTCCTGAGGATGTTTGCATAATATTAAAGTCCTGAGGGATGACACCACCATGTGATATTAAAGTCCTGAGGATGACACCACCATATGATATTAAAAGTCCTGAGGATGACACCACCATGTGATATTAAGGTCCTGAGGATGAAACACCATATATAATAATATTAAAAGTCCTGAGGATGACACCACCATGTGATATTAAGTCCTGAGATGACACCACCATACATGTGATATTAAGGTCCTGAGGATGAAAGCACACCACCATATAATATTAAGAGTCCTGAGATGACACCACCATGTGATATTAAAGTCTGAGGATGACACCACCATGTGATATTAAGTCCTGAGGATGACACCACCATGTGATATTAAAGTCCTGAGATTGAGCACACCACCATGTGATATTAAAGTCCTGAGGATGACACCACCATGTGATATTAAAGTCCTGAGGATGACAACACCATGTGATATTAAGTCCTGAGAATGACACCACCATGTGATATTAAAGTCCTGAGGATGACACCACCATATAATATTAAAGTCCTGAGGATGACACCACCATGTGATATTAAAGTCCTGAGGATGACACCACCATGTGATATTAAAGTCCTGAGGATGACACCACCATATAATATTAAAGTCCTGAGGATGACACCACCATGTGATATTAAAGTCCTGAGGATGACACCACCATATAATATTAAAGTCCTGAGGATGACACCACCATATAATATTAAAGTCCTGAGGATGACACCACCATGTGATATTAAAGTCCTGAGGATGACACCACCATATAATATTAAAGTCCTGAGGATGACACCACCATGTGATATTAAAGTCCTGAGGATGACACCACCATGTGATATTAAAGTCCTGAGGATGACACCACCATATAATATTAAAGTCCTGAGGATGACACCACCATATAATATTAAAGTCCTGAGGATGACACCACCATGTGATATTAAAGTCCTGGAGGATGACACCACCATATATTAAAGTCCTGAGGATGACACCACCATGTGATATTAAAGTCCTGAGGATGACACCACCATGTGATATTAAAGTCCTGAGGATGACACCACCATGTGATATTAAAGTCCTGAGGATGACAACACCATGTGATATTAAAGTCCTGAGGATGACACCACCATGTGATATTAAAGTCCTGAGGATGACACCACCATGTGATATTAAAGTCCTGAGGATGACACCACCATGTGATATTAAAGTCCTGAGGATGACACCACCATGTGATATTAAAGTCCTGAGGATGACACCACCATGTGATATTAAAGTCCTGAGGATGACACCACCATGTGATATTAAAGTCCTGAGGATGACACCACCATGTACTGTAATAACAAACACCTGGATAACACCATCATGATACCACCATGATTCAGTATAAACAAAATAAAACAAAATAATGAGTTTCAAGATTATAAAAACCTAAGACAATTTTAAAATGTTAATACAGAACTTATTACTACAGCATTTTTCTGTTCAAGATAAAAATAAATAAATACAGTATTTTCCCTTAAAACTCGCGGTTTTAAAGCTTGTGTCCCTCAGAAACTCATGGATTGCCATGGAAAATAAATAAAAAAATCTGAGGCTCTGTGCCAGTGATCAAGAGGAGTCAACACAACAGGGCAGTACAGAGCACCATATTTCCAAGGTTGTAAGATGCACCCTATAATTAGCAAGGCATATTTTGGAAAAAGAATTTTTGCAGATTTAATAGCCTACTGTACAGTATTACCCCGCTTAACGCGCTTTCACTTAACGCGTTTTCGCATATACGCGGTGCCTTGCCAAAGCTGAACTTTCACTTAAAGCGGATTTTTCCACAGCAACGCGGTGAGTGTCCGGCTCGAGAGCTATTTTTAGATTCGCACCACCCCCCACCCGCCACCCTGCCTGACTGCCTGTTTTAGCTCATAAAATTCATACAAATTACCCAGCCAGAATATAGTTTACATTGCTGGAATTCTTATAATTTGGTGATCATTTTGAATATAAACAACATATTTTTTGCATTAAACATACAATTTTTAGATAAAATGTTTAATCTGAGTAAGTATGTTATCTTTTGTCCAAAATATATGACATTTATATTCAAAATATTCCTGGTCTTACAAGGAATCCAGCAATGTCAATTATATTATCCTAACTTTAATCTGAGGTATTATTTATTACTAAATGTTAAAAACTCTTGAATGGAGGATTGGTGGGGGGTGGGGGGAGGGTTGGGACTGACCGCGCGGTTGGAAGAGGGGGGGAGGCAAGGTGGGGTACTTTGATTGACAGATAGTGTTGAAGAATATATTTTTTTTTTATTAACTGTAGATATTTGTTTTAGCTCATAAAATTCATACAAATTATCCGGCCAGAATATAATTTACATTGCTGGAATTCTTATAATTTGGTGATCATTTTGAATATAAACAACATATTTTTTGCATTAAACATACAATTTTTAGATAAAATGTTTAATCTGAGTAAGTATGTTATCTTTTGTGAAAAATATATGACATTTATATTCAAAATATTCCTGGTCTTACAAGGAATCCAGCAATGTCAATTATATTTTCCTAACTTTAGTTTGAGGTTATCCCACACATCTCCTTGGGACGGTTGGTGGGGGGTGGGGGGGGGAGGGAGGGACCGACCGACCATCTGTTAGCTGGCTGTGTACTGTAGTGTGAGAGGGGGAGGGAGTTGAGTCCATTATTTGAATGGACATTAACTTGGCGACTGTATTTCTCTTAAGTATTAATTGTGTGCATGTACCATCATAAAATTAAGATGTTATTTTTACTACAACATAGTTATTTGTCGTCAAAAAGTGGAGTTTGGGGGTCGGGCTGGGTTCTATTGGAATTAATCCCATATGTTCTGTTATTCACTTAACGCGGTTTTCACTTAACGCGGGACCCTCTGGGTTCAATTGACCGCGTTAAGTGGGGTACCACTGTATTAGCAAAGCCAAATCACTGGCTATATGCTCTCATGTTTCTCACTACCACAGCTCACTATCACTTCATGGACCTATTATTATCAAACATTTGTTGGAATTATTATTAAAATCTACCTCATTTAATACAAAAGGATATAATTATACATATAGGAACCTACAGCATACTTTCCAACAGTCCGTGACAGAGACGTGACCGATCGCCCGGGCGGCTAGCGAGCCAATCAGTGGTGAAGAGGATAAAAGAAAAAAAGAAAAGAAAAGTACAGGGAATGTTTACATCCTGTGCACCAGATCAGCTGACATTTCAGAGGTATTATCTTTGCATTGTCACTACCACAAATATCACTGTGTGGACCTAATGTCCATACAGTGTTATTTCACGTTTTTATTTATTTATTTATGTTGTTTCATATTCATTATACTGTATTGTCTAATCCCAGCGAGCTTTAAGGGAATACTGTAAATACAAAAAATCTGTACAGGATATTTAAATTTTTATCAATACCCATAGTAGAAAAAAACACCAAAGGTTTACAATTTCATGATTGTGTAAACCATGACAGTTCATCACAACCTAACCTAATCTAACCATGATTACTGTTGACTCATCACCCGTCATCATGCTTTTCAATCATCCCATCAGAAGAGTAATAATACCCCGGTACAGTACTGTATATCAATCGGCAATAAGGATCTGATGGTTTTGTTAGGTAATCCTCGAACGAATTGCCTTACTGTTTACCACTGTTTGTATGCTTGAACTGTCTAGGTACAATATGTGGTTTGGATATCTGCAAGGTACATTCCTGTATATTGTACCTGCATTGTGTTGGTGTTTCAGGATTTAAAATAAATCCTAAAATAAAAATTATGGTAGATAACAGGAAACTTAAACAAGTGGAAATTTTTGTATACACTACTGTATTTGGGAAATAACATTAGCGGTGATGGTAGATGTGTGAATCATAACAAGAGTAACTGAGGCAAAAACAGAATTTAATAATCTAAAAGAACTAATAAAAAGTGACAGTAACTTTAATTTGAAAAAAAGGCTGCTGAAAGGCTATACTGTACAATACTGTACAGTATATGGTCAGGAATGTTGTATGGGTCACAGGCTTAAAAAATAAGTTACACTGACAGGAAAACAAATGAAGAAGTACTAAGATTAGCAAAACAATTCAAGAAAAATACCTGAAACTTACAGAAAATGAAAAATTAGATAATTTGGTCAATAATAATAAGGAATGAAGGGATAAAACCAAATATATTAATGGGCAAAGTTGAAAGTAGGAGCACCAGGGGAAATCAAAGCCTGGGATGGATGAATAAAATTAAAAACTGGGTCCCCAGAAAAATACAAAATCTTTGAGGACTGACATAACCCAAATACATTTACAGTGGAGGACTGTGGTCACCATCCCTCAGATATGGGGAGGTACTCTGACTAATTTTTCGGTACACTGTCTGTATACCAGTACTATCTAGATACATTATTGTACAGTACTGTATATCGGCAATGTCCAGGTATGTTGTTTGTATATGGGCACTGTTTAGGTACTGCACATATTTTGAATACCTGCACTATCTAATTTATTTTATCCTCTTCACCATAGATCAGCCTGTTAGCCACTTGTGCAATCAGTCACGTATCTGTTACGCACTATTGACAAGTACTGGGCATGCACTGGTTCCTGAATGTATCTGTACCTGCTCCACTGTTGGTCAAGTCTGGTCTTGCAAGAGCTCACACTCATTGCTGTCACAACACTCTGGCAGATTGTTCCAAGAGTTTACAATTATCATTCCAAAAAAGTTTGTCCTCAGTTTTCTGGAGTTGTGGCTTCTTCAACCTTGAGCAGTGAACTCTAGTGGGGCATGCATCAGCCAGCTCCAGGTATAGACACTCAACTGAGTAGTACCCTCTATAGTACTATATAAGCTAGGCAGTTGCAGGTGTTCTAATATATCTGGGCAATTGAGGTGCCATGATGCAGGCACCAGTTTGGTGGCCCTCCTTTGGACATTTTCAGTCAACTGACAGTCTCGAGCCTATCTCGGGGACGAGACGGGATGACAGTACTCCAGACGGGAAAGTACTTCACTCTTGAAGATTGTTCTTATCTTTTCTTTTATCCTCTTCACCAAATGATCGGCTCGTTAGCCACTTGGGCGATCGGTCACATCTGTTATGCACTGTTGGCAAGTACTGGGCATGCACTGGCTCCTGAATGTACCTGAACCTGCTCCAGTGTTGGTCAAGTCTTGTCTTGAAATAGCTCACACTCGGTGCCATCACAACACTTTCTGGTAGATTGTTCCAAGAGTTCACAACTCTCACTCCGAAAAAGTTTGCCCTCACAGTTTTCTGGACTTGCGGCTTCTTCAATCTTGAGCTGTGACCCCTTGTGGGGCAAGCGTACGCCAGATCCAAGTAAGGACACTCGACTGAGTAGTGCCCCTTAAGTTGCTTATACACCTCAATTAGGTCACCCCTTACCCGTCTGTAGCATAAGCTAGGCAAGTTCAGGCGCTGCAATCTCTCAGGGTAGCTGAGGTGCCGAAGTGCAGGCACCAGTCTGGTGGTCCTCCTTTGAACATTTTCAATCAACTGACAGTCCCTAGCATATCTCGGGGACCAGACAGGGTGACAGTACTCCAGATGGGGAAGCACTTCACTCTTGAAGATCGTTCCGAGGGACCGTCTAGATATCTGAACGACCTTCTTATAAGACCCAATAATTGATTTGCCTGATTTACCTTCTTCTCACAATGGCCCAAGAACTTCAGCTCATTGTCAACATACACACCTAGGTCCTTCTCTCATTCAGTCTCAAATAGTGCAGTTTCTTCATCCCGTTGGGGCATATGATACGCCTCCTTACCGTTGGTATGCTCCAGGTGCATCCTCTTACACTTCGTGACATTGTATCTCAGCAAGCCATTTCTTCGACCATTCTTGGGGCCCACAGAGGTCCTTCTGCAGATCTTCACAGTCCGCTTGGTTCTTGATTTCCTGAAATAACTTAGCGTCATCGGCAAACATTTGTATGGAGGTGTGTACAACTTCAGGCATGTCATTTATGAAACAAACAAACAGCGGGCCCAATACACTGCCCTGTGGTACCCCGCTTTTGACAGGCAGAGATGATGATTACGTGCCATTAATCATCACACATTGCTTGCGGTCATGTAGAAAGTCTTCTATCCGCGCGAGGACATTTCCCTGAATTCCATACCCTTCCAGTTTGATTTTCAGCCTTTCTTGGGGTACACTATCAAAAGCCTTGGCAAAATCTAGGTAAATATTGTCGATATTACCACCCCGTTCCAGAATATGGGTCCAAATATCCAATACCTTGAGCAATTGTGTTAAGCAGGAGCGCGCCAGCATAAAACCGTGTTGGCAATCCTTACCAAGGTTGTTTCGAAGTAGATGTTCCATCGCGGCATCTCTGATAATACTCTCAAGTACTTTACATATTATGCTGGTCAGGCTCACCGGTCTATAGTTGTTTGTGGAGTGACGATCGCCCTTCTTGAAGATAGGACTCACATAAGCCACTTTCCATTTACTGTGGAGCTTTTGTTCATCCAGGCATTTACAAAACAGGATCTTCAGGGGCTCGGCAAACTCGTTGCACAACTCTCTTAGCACTCTAGGATGCACCATGTCAGGGCCGGGACTCTTATGGACCTTTATCTTTGACAGTTTATTTCTAATACCCTCTTCTGTGAACACAATGTGGGTCAGTGCTGTGTCGAACCGTCTGTCCTCAAACGCAGGAAGGTTAATCGCATCCTCTCTTGTGAACACCGAGGGAAAGAAGCTGTTCAATGCCTCAGCTTTATCCTGGTCAGAATCTGCGTAACTACCATCTTCAAGCCTCAGGTCTGATACTCCTACTCACGTTTTTAATTTCGACTTCGCATAGCAGTAAAACGCCTTTGGGTTTGACTTGACCTCGCTTGCAACCAGCCTCTGGAACTCCTTTTCAGCCCTTCTACATTCTATCTTTGCTTGGTTTCTGGCTCTTGCATACATCCTCCTGTCCTGCTCATCGTTTGACCCAACCTACATCTTGAATTTCTGAGTTTTCTTCTTAACTTATATGTGATACACCACCTTACTGTTAGTATGACCCAGGTGCAGCCTCTTTCACTTTATGACATTGAATCTTAGCAGCCATTTCATCAGCCACTCTTGAAGCTGACAGAGATCTTTCTGTAGCTCTTCACAGTCATTTTGATTCCTAATTTCCCTTAATAACTTGGCATTGTCTGTAAACATTTGCATGGAGGAGTGTAGCTTCTGACATGTCATTTATGAAACAAATAAACAACAATGAACCCAATACACTGCCCTGTGGTACTCCACTTGTCAAAGGTACACATGACAATTACGTACCATAAATCACCACACACTGCTTACTGTCATGAAAAAAGTCTCCAATCCAAGCTAGGACACATCCCTGAATCCCATACCCTCCCAGTTTAATTTTCTGCCTTTCATGGGAGTATGCTGTCGAAAGACTTGGCAAAATTTAGTATATATTGTCAATATTAAGAGCCAGTTCCAGAATTTGAGTCAAAACATCCAGTACCTTTAATAATTATGTCAAGCAGGAGGGTCCCGGCATAAAACTGTGTTGGCAATCTTTTACGAGGCTGTTTCATAGTAGATGTTACATCATGGTATTTATTATAATGCTCCCTAGTACTATACACACTATGATGGTCAGGCCTACTCAAAAAAGTTTACCGTGACAATTTTCTGAATTTGTGGCTTCTTTATCATGAGGCTGTGACCTCTAGTAGGGAGGGCATTCGCTAGTTCCAGATATGAACACTTGACTAAGAAGTGTCCTTTGAGGAGATTATAAGCTTTAATCAAATCACCCTTAGCCTATCTATAGTCTAAGCTAGGCAACTGCAGGCATTATAATCTCTGTGGGTAACTGAGGTGTTGGAGTGCACCACCATATAATATCAAACACCTGAGGAAAACCCCATCATAACATATTTTTGGGACTAGATGGATGACAGTACAGTACTTCAAATGGGGAATTTACCTCACTTTTGAAGAGCATTATGAAGGACAGACAATCTAGCTATGTAAACTAACTTTGTATATCCTACCAGTTTTTGCTTGATTTGCCTTCTTCTCACAAAATCTGCACTGTACAGTATAGGAACAGTGCTTGTATCCCTGCACTTTCTGGGCATTTTGTTTCTATACCTACTCATTCTAGGTATTATATAATAAATAAGAGATGGGGAACTACTGCACAGTCTACCTAAATGACTGAATAATTGGGTTCAAGTGTGTAGAACCTTAGGTATTTGGTTCTACTCAGAGTGTGGAGCTCACTAAGTACCTTGGAGCTGTCGTGGTCCTTTCCCCATTGCCTCACCTGATATCCATAATTTACCCATGAAAATAATGACTTTGTATTATATTGTACACAGAACTAGACAAGTTTGACTGTGGTCAATCCTGTCACTCACACCAACATGCAAGAACTCTGTGGGCCTGATGGATTTTGTATGACTGTAATTAGTGTAGATCCTTTACCCCTGCATTTGGTAGGGGTGACTCCCTCATGGGGTACATTGCCACACTAGTCACTCAATCACATCTACCTCCCTTTTTTTAAGTTGGCTACAGTTATATGAGTCCTCTGACCCATGCATTTGATCATAAAAAGAGAACTGATCCTGAAATTCTTTTTCTGACTGATTCTGAATCACATCATGCCTCAGATCTTTCTCTCCTTGCGAGTCACTATGAAGTCAACAAGAAGTGCAGATGGTCCTGGATTCCTTGTCCATATGGCTAAGCCTTCAGTTGACATATACAGCTCCTCCCCGACTTACGACCTACTCGACTTACGTCCACCCGCACTTACGACCTGCCTCAGTAGTACCAAAATTTGGTCAAATTACGTATTTTTGAGTCCCAAAGTCAGTACACAGACAAAATTTTCATCTGTGGTGCTGAGAAGAAAGAGACCCCAGATTTTGATTTTCTATGTATTATTTAAGCATATCCGACTTACGACCATTTCGACTTAAGACCTGGATGTCGGTCCCTAACCCCGTCGTAAGTTGGGGAGCAGCTGTATAATGTGCATTGTTAGCGAAGTACCACAATACATAAACATTCTATTTAAATGGTGATTTTTACTTCCATAAATCACTTTATAAAAGCCACAATCAAAATGGAGTGTTAATATTAATCACTAAATAAGTATCATCCAGCAGTGGGTAAATCCCAGGGTCTGCCAGAAAAGGGGAATTTAGGAACAATCTTTCATTTTTAAACACTAGAAAGGAGTTATAAAATTTCATGACATCTGAAAGTAAATGTAAGTCTAAAAGAAACCACTTATTCATCCTGTTCACCAACCTTTTCATTCGGGGCATCCGGGTCACTTGACAACTTGCCGGGTTGCAGTAACAAAAATTGAGAATAGCCACGACTCACGCTGAACACCGACCCCTCCATCATCACTGCTCTAATGGGAGACTGGGAAGTATGAAAACTTTAGTTGTTGTATTGATACTGAAAAGATGCAGTATTATATATACAGTATAGTCTGGGCTTACGCGGTCAATTAAACCCGTGGAGGTCCGCGTATAACGCGAAAGGCGTAAATAAAATAACAGAACATATGGGAATAATTGAAATGGAGACTGGGCCGACCGCCAGACTACCCTTTTTCCGACACAATACGAACATAGTAGTAAAAATAACATCTTAATATTATGATGGTATGCACACACAATTAATATTTAAGAGAAACATCAATAATATTAGGTTTTTTAACACTTATGTGAGTAGAAGAGATGGCTGGGCACACGGGGATGGGGGGGTTGGTTCCGAGGCAGAGGGCAGATTATTGGCCCTCGCCTGTATCACTTATATCACCTGTATCACTATCCACCAGAGGCAAGCAGGGCATCCTTGTCAAACCCCTCAAAGTCCATATCCTCACTATCACTATCAGTGACTTGGCCCAGCTGTGGTGTGTGAAGAACTCGGTAATGTTTTGTTGACAGGAGACAATGGGAGTGACGCAGTCAAGGTCATCAACACATCGCCCCTGGTGGCAGGGCAAGCAAAGTTAAATAGACCAATCACAGCTCGCGGCGGAGGGGGTGCGTGGATGGTAAGGATACGTGGCCCAATCACAGTCCGCGACGTCATCGGCACGAGTCTGACGTCAGCGGTGACGTCAGCGACCAGCAGCTTGCCCGCCGCTTGCCGCGTAAATTAAGGAATGTACCGCGTAACTAATAATTGGCGCATCTGGACAGGTGCCGTGTAAATGGCCAAACGCGTATAAAATATCCGCGTAAACCCAGACTATACTGTATACGCGTATACAGTAGTACACCGCTTAACGCGGTCAATAAAACCCACAGGGTACCGTGTTAAGTAAAAACCGCGCTAAGTGAACAACAGAACATATGGGATTAATTCCAATAGAAACTGGCCCGACCCCCAAACTCCACTTTTTCCGACACAATACTTATGTTCTAGTAAAAATAACATCTTAATTTTATGATGGTACATGCACACAATTAATACTTAAGAGAAATAGAGAAATACAGTCGCCAAGTTAATGTTCATTCAAATAATGGACTCAACTCCCTCCCCCTCTTCTCACACTACACTGCTGGCTCTTCCCTCTCTGAGAAATTTTTTGGGGAAAACCACTAAATTTTAATAAATAATACCTCAAACTAAAGTTAGGATAATACAATTGACATTGCTGGATTCCTTGTAAGACAAGGAATATTTTGAATATAAATGTCATATATTTTGCACAAAAGATAACATATTTACTCAGAGTAAACATTATATCTAAAATTTGTATGTCTAATGCAAAATCTATGATGTTTATATTCAAAATGATCACCAAATTGTAAGAATTCCAGCAATGTAAATTGTAGTCTGGCCGGGTAATTTGTATGAATTTTATGAGTTAAACAAATATCTTCAGTTAATAATAAAAAAAATATTCTTCACGACATTATCTGTCAATCAAAGTAC